GGGTGGTGCGTGCTGTGCGCTGTCGGGCGGCGCGTGCTACTGTGCGGCACTGCTGGGCGGTGTCTGCTGCTGTGCGGCCTGCTGTGCGTGCTGCTGCCTATGGCTGCGCCGCAGTGCACTGCCGGTCGGTGTGTCCATAACATTACACCCCTCCTGGACAACGAGCTTGTCCTCAAGCTCGAATTCCGGATACGTGGCTTGGAACTCTACCAATGGATTAAACGGCTGAACACTATCTCTCAGTCCCCCAACAGTAGGAACAACAGGGATTGCCCCGTAGCTTAGTGCATAAGGCTGGCTCTGTCCACATGGCTCAAATCTAGAAGGCATAAGGAGGATGTCTGCACCAGCAGTTATTCGATAGCCCATTTTCACAGAGAAACCAACCCAACCCCTGACTTTGTCATGGTGTTGACGCTTAGAATGTTTGAGAAGCTGTTCCCAGTCAGGTTTTCTAGTGACCAACATGACTAGTTGCACCTCCGGGTCCACCATCCAAGGAATGGTCTCAGCAACGAGATCAACACCCTTCTAATGGTCAAGCCTGCCAATGACCCTAATCAGAGGAACATTCTCTCGAAGAGGAAGAACAATCTCCCTTTGTAGAGCTGCTTTGCATTGAGGCTTGCCAGTCTGAAGAGTCTCCGCAGAGTAATTGGTGTAGCCATCCGATGCCAGGTAAACATCTAACTGTGGGTTCCCTTCGTTTGCATCAATCTCATTCATGATGCCCTTCAGCTTCCAATCACACTCATTTATTATTGGGTGCAGACCCCAGCCACCTTCTTTAGTTTTCAGCTCCCAGGCGTAACCATGGCTTACAGTGACTCCACGATCTGCTGTTTTCAGGCCAGCTACAAGGACATTGAAGTGTTCCCCACCTCTTGGGTCATGTAGTTCGAAGTAGTTTTGTGGAAGATCCACATAACGAAAACCGCGTACTGGACCACGACCCCGGTGTACTATGTTGTGGATCATAGGGACACACCGGGTATACTTACAGAAGAGAACCTCAAGAGCACCCTTCCCAAAGAGAACTATGCGTTTTAAAATATCCTCTCGGTCTCCCCCATATATATTTTTCTCAATATTGCGAAACATAGGGCTGTCCATGAACACAAAATCCATAACATCAATATAAGCTTGAAAGAAAGTTACCTCCATATCCTGCCCATCCAACTTATATCTCTTGCGCACTCCTGTTTCTTGGGCTTCTGCATAGTTACCATACCGTGGTGCCACAACCATAACTCTATGTCCACGCTGAGCCAAAGCCTTCGGTAAAGCCCCAGCAACATCGCGAAGCCCACCTGTCTTCGACAAAGGAGCGCATTCTGTAGGTGCCAATATAATGTTCGTGACATTGTCCTCGGCCAAAGGAGGAGACCTTACAGTTTCATCCTCCGTGCGTTGATCCTTGGGAATAACTGCGGTTGTAGGGGTAGCGGTCTGCTATTCGCTGGATGCCTCTGCCCAGTCCGGACGACGACTGTTTGTGTTGGTGATTCCCTCAGAACTAATCTCTTTGTTGGAGAGGAATGCTTCCAGGCAGCGTCATAGCTCTCGGACATCTTCCTTGACTTCACGAACCTCCATGCTGGTTTCTGCTAGCCTATGTTCCAGTTCGTTGACCTTGGATGATAGCTGCTCCATATCGCCCGTGACGTTTAGCTCTGATACCAAATGTTATGGTACCGCGCGTAGGATCTCATCACGGGTTGGTCCACGGGGAGAAAGCCCTGCTTTCCCTTGCGCCTTCCCTTGCGTGCAAACCCTATTGTGGAAACTGAATGGGTGATTTGCCCAAGAGACCACCCGAACTCTCCTTACTCTTTTCTTGACTGGAAAATTAAATGCCTTTATTTCAATTCGTGGCTCCTTAAATAGGAGATTACAGAAGGAAATTCCTAATTAAACTCAAACTCCAACTTGAACTCAAACTCCCAATTACCTACTCCTAATGGTAACA